AAGTCAACAAAACTCAAATGCTTCCTAATTTCTCACTAATATTTTTTTCATCTGAGACGCTGTAATTTCATTAGATACTAACTTTACCTTCAGGTACCTGCCTAAATTGGGAGACTCTGCTCCTCCTGCAGTCAGACATAGAAAGAGGCTGCCCAGCAGATTGATCCAAAAAGCTCCACACATTCTGAAGGAAATGTCCATCTGACTGGAAGACTTTCATTCTCTATTGAGTTTCAAAGGACAGTAGGAAAGCTCCTTTAAGCATGCACACATGCCTGCAGTGTGCACGCGTGTCAGCCTCTGGTGTGCTTCAGCTCCAGCCCACAGACGAGGCAGGATGACAGCGCTATCTCAGCGTGGTCTCAGGGCAGTAAGCACGGGAAGGGCTGGGAGAGTCAGGATACTACAGCAGTGTGGTTGTACAGGAGACAGACAGTGCCCTAAATTGACCCCTGAGAGATTTGGGATGCGGAGCTGTGAAGCTTATGCAGCAGATTTAAACCACTTTGGGTGCTCCTGTAGGAAGAACCAGTCCATCCAACAGTTTTGTCTCATCCTCTTGGGTGGCCCCAGATGTTTGATACACCAATACCTCTGTAACTTTAATTTCATCTTGCAGGGTTTCAGGCATGTATTTTAAATTCATTGTATTTACCCTTCTACACTGAATCCATACAAACACATACAGCATTAACTATTCCAGGTCCCCACAGAGAACTGTTAGCAGAGACAGAACATGGGCCGGCACACGACTGAAGCCACATGCACCATCTGCTCAAACATTTTAATATAATTTACCAGGCAAGAGCTGAGCAGGAAAAAAAAAAGATAGACGAAAGAGATTAGATTTCCCCTTGTCCAAAATACCTCCTGCTGCTTGATATATGAACCTAACTCACTCATAACTAATATTTCATTTAAGAATTTAATTTAAGAACATATTCAAAAATTTAAAAAAAAAGTCCTGTGCCTGCAAGGTAACATTGACATAATTCTTCTGTTAACGTGCTGCCCATTGAGAACTGACCAGATTGATAATCCTATTGCCAGAATGAAAAAGGAGCAGACTAGTTAAGAACTTTAAAGATGTTACTTCCACTCAAATTGCAATTTTGATGAACTTCAATAAATGAGTAAAGAAAGAGAAAGATTTATTTACTGCACCATTGAAGCCAAACAAGTTCTACATGTTAAGACTTGTATTTGGCTGAAGGTGGCAGCCCTGGGCCTAGTACTATTTGAATTTTGGGAATAAGTCCTGCAACTTATCTGTAAAAGGGATTCCAAACGACAAATACTTACACTTCAAGAATCAGGTTTTGTAGAGAACCCTCCACTTTTTAAAACAAAAACAATTATTTGAAGAACTCGTAACAAACTCCTTTTGTCATGTTCAACAGTATTAATGAAGATGTTTAGAGTGGGTTAGCAATTTTTCCTCTATTTGAAATACTCACAAAATTAACAAGAATCTAGGACAAGTACATTTGCTATACATTCAGCTGACATTTTCTCTTCCAAACCCCTACACAATTTCCTACTCCTTTTAAGCTGACAATAAAAAATAAAATTTAAAAAACCCCACAAATGAATGAAATCAGTTTCATAAGATTGTAAATGTCACTGTTAATTTCTGATGTGAAAGGTAGAAAAATCTGCATACAGCAGGAAAGCTTTACCAATTCCTCTTACTGGTACTCTAAATACAGCAGCCCTCATGATTCATAATTTTAGGAAATGAGACCTCAACCTGAGCTGCCCCCAGAGCTGATTGTCAGGCTGTGTGCCAGCCATCCACCAGCAATCAAAAGCCATCATCTGCAGCAGTCATCATCCCAAAACCTCCCCTTTTTTTTTTAACTCAAGGCTCATTAAAGCTCAACACAGTAAATAAGAAAAGGAAAAAAAAGAAGCCTGGAGAAGATGCAGGCAGGAGTGATCATGACTGAGCACATGGATAGGCTCACACATAGGGAGGGACTGTCTGATCAACACTCTTTGGCTTGCAAAGAAGTCAGCGACAAGACCTACAACTGAAATCTAAACAAATATTGAGTGGCTTAAACAAGGAAGAGAGAGAGACTCACTAACTCTTCTTGAATGACAGAAGAGCTCTAACTGTATCTCCAAGTTGTTGGTTAGAACACAAAAGAAGTGACACATCATGCAAAAGTTAGGCAATTTAAGATATTGCAGAGAGTAGAGGTTTACAGGACTCAAACATTTCAACAAATGAATGGAAGAAAATCCCACAATGACTACTGAAAGCATACATACAATTTTCAGCTCTGGAAAGACGCAGCTGCAGGAGCGTATCAGGGAAGGATCAGTGTAACCATGCCCATCCTACTCACCTGTAGGCACTGGCTTGGGAAGTCATCTGGATACAGCAATGCCTTGGACTTGAGGTTGGATCTGGTGTGACACCTTGACATTATTTTATAGTATACCTCAGGAGTTATAAACATCATGAGAAGTCTTACCAAAAAAATTATGGAATTCTCTTCTTTTTGTTGTTTGTGGGTTTGGGCTTGTTTTGGGGTGGGAAGGAGAGCGTTTGGGTTTGGTTTTACTTTTAAATTATTTTACTTATAGTTTCGTGGGTTTTATGTAAACTTCAGTTCCATTTATTTGCTTGCATCCTCAGCTAACATATTCTGCAACACTGAGCACTGAGAACATTGCCATTGATTTCCATCAGCAAAGGATCACACCCTAACTGCTTCCAATTTCACAGTTACTAAGCAACACTAAGTGATCACAGCCTCTGAGCAAGCAATGTCCTGTATTCAAAGGTTTGAATTGTACAACTCCATAAAGACTTGGAACTTGGGCACCTACCAATGAACACCCGCAAATCTTAGATAACAAACTCTGGAAGTAGAGAAATACATACCCTGTGTGCTGTTAATTGAAATTAGCTCTATTGAACCACAAAATTTCCTTGTATACTCATCATGGACCTAAAACTGGGAGTACTTTCTCATATACTGCAAAGTTTCTGTATTTTTCCCCAGGATTAACCAGAACAAAACTCCTTTTCTTTATATTGAAATTCATACACAGCACTCCTATTTAAGTTATGTATTCAGGGATAAAGATAAAAAAGAAAGCACACAAAAACAGGAAGTTAAACACCATCAGCCTTAGGGCAACATATCCCTTACAATTCAGTGCATTTTTGCAGTAGTGCACATTTTTTTTAAAGATTCATAAAAACACTGTAATCGGATTTCTGTTTTTCTTTTAAAATAGTATCACTGTTAGAAATACTAAAACTATTAGAAAATAGTAAATAACACCATCCACTTCTTTTTTTGTTGTTGTAGGAGACTTTCCTGAATGCACACAACTCTTAAAAAATAGTCAATAGCTAAATTTGCTTTAATGAAGATGGTACTTGCAGCCTTTACTAAATTATACTTATTCATCTACACGCCAAGACAACAGAAACCTTGCTTGCTGCTAACATGGAAAATCTGAATGGTCCAGAAGACTAGATCCATTCCCCTGTGAATGACTAAAAATCAGAATGGCTGTTCTCCCTTGGAAAATCCTGATCTGGTTTAACATTTAAAAAATGTGAAATTTCAAGGGTGAGAAAGTGCTATGGAAGCCCACGTACAAGAACACTGCAAAAAAAAAAAAAAAAAAGTGCTACAGAAACCTCTGGTGTTTCATGTACATCCATTCACACACACAAATGTATACAGTAATTGTTTAGGGACACAGTTTAGCTCTTTTCACACCCATTAGAGGATCCTAATCATAAGACTTGAGCAACATAAAAGGTTTTGAAGCAAAAAGCCTGAACGTTGGTGTGTTACGTCTAATGGAAACAATATTACACAGCAGTCTTTCACTTCCGAGACTGATTAGAAACTGTATTGTATTTACCACACTATGAAGATAATAACTTGAGAGAACATTAGCATAAATCATTAATTCATTGTGGGGAAACTCTGAAAGAGGATATCTTTCTAAAAGGAAAATTATCACATTAAAATGCAAGCAAACTTTGAGGAAAACAAGCTGTGCCAAGTAAATGGTGCCAAAATTAAGTAATTCATAGTTATCATACTTGGTCTTCAATAGGAAGAATTTAGAGCACACGAAAACACAACAACACCTTAGCAAACCAATGGGAAAAAAATCAACTGAATGTTACATTTGTTATCTGAAAGCTCACTTGCTGGAATTACACAGATCATATTCCAAAAGGTTCACATACCTAATAAATAGTACTGGAAGACACTGAACAACACTGAGTATACGTACACTGTCCTGTGCTTCCTAAGAATTGCCTATCCTCAGTAAATGAAAGAGCAAGAATGCAAAATTCTCCAGATAAAAAATAATTAGAAAAAGTCCACCAATTTCTTCTCTCCTTCCTTATGTGTCAGTTTTAGAAAGCAAAATGGTCAGGTGACATTGTTCTATAATAATTTCTATTAAAATAAATTATATTGCTTTTAATGCAATTTACAATCTCATAAATAACCAATTTGAGGAGAAAAGCAATAAAAGAAAAAAGCTACCCACCATTTACCCAGTGACCAAACAGCAATATGAAGATATCACATTCCTCTTTCTATGCTTTGGATACAGAGGAGCATTTTGATATTCCAAATATTTAGGGATGTTGCTATTGATACTTTTAAATTGTTACTAAGAATGCCCTTAACATCTCTTGGGAAAGAAAAAAAAACACTGCACACCCTAACTTGCAGGTTCTTTTTCAACGCTGACATCCCTCTGTCTCCTTACTGCACACAACAAAAGGCAAGCCCTCTGTTTGCAGGCTTCAGGTCACTTGCTCAGTTGCTACCCTCAAATTACAGCATGTGAGGGCTGCATTCCACCTGAGGAGTTTTTGTGGCAGCTGCCAGGCAGAGATCTCTGTGCTCACCAGGGTAGAAGGGGCATTCCAGGCTGTGAAGCTGATCGTGCTGGAAGTGTTTGCTAAGAGAGATGTCAATGAAGTAAAGGAGTTTCAGTACCTGAGTTAACAAGCTGCTGCTCCATGACCCCACAGCCCAGGACCTCCATCCATTCTCCTTGGAAGTTGATCTCCATCTCAAAGGAAGGGTGAGTAAACGGGAAGTAGCAATCTACCCATCTGACTTGCAGTCCTGTAGCAGTGTTTAAAAAATAAATAAATATGAAAGGGTGTATGCTTAAAAGGCCATCCTACAACCATCTGTAAAATTTGCCCTTCAACTAATGACATGAATTACAGCAATCCAGAGAAAATAAATAGCAAACAAACTAATTTAAAACACTTGTGCAAGGCAATAAATCTTAAAACCTGTGGAAAAAAATGACCATGTCTTTTCTAATATGAAAAATGCTTTGTGCAATTCAAGCACCCTTTGAAACCAAATCAATCATTTGTCAAACTCTAGCAACCACCTGGCATCGAACAAAAATGAGCCAAGATAATAGGAAAGTCAGTGATTTTGTTATTCTTTGCACCAGGAAATGACTAACTACTTCTCACAGGAAAAGCTAGCTAAATCTGTAATTTTTTTTTAGTATTTTATGGATCATCTAGGCAAGTAATTTTTTTCATCAAAACTTAATTAAAATACACAGCTATTCTCTGTATATGTTTAAAAATTAAAGTTAAAAATAGATATTAATATACACAAATAGAAATATATTTTTACCGAGTTGAACATTATTAAGGTATGCAACATACACACAGAGCATTCTGGACCTGGTAGATAAGTGTAAGGGAAAAGCCCCACCTGGCAATTTCCCACCATCCTCCCCAGAGCTCAGCACCTCTGCAGATACCACTGAGCCGAGCAAGGAAAGTCCTGGCATCTCAGAGCAGTGCAGCCAGAAGAGGACAAGGTCTTCCTTCCCAAGGTCTTCAGTGCTGCCAAAAGCACTTGTCAAAGCACTCACTATATTTGAAGAGTCTTAGTTCTTCTAATGATTTACAGATACTTTGTTTCACTAAAAATTTTCTTCTAACCATTAGGTGTCAGGAAAGAAGTCTCAGAAACATGAACCATAAAAACTTGATAGAGAACTGAAATGCAAATTCTGTAAGCTAAGCTAATGCCTTAACCCCAAATATATCTTCTTTTCAGCTAAGCTAAATGCTAATCAGAGTTAGGATCGTTAAGAACCAGACAGGTCCAGCGTCAAAAATAAGGAGCTGAACCTTGTTTTTCAAAGGCAAAGGTAGTGTGAGTGACAGCAACTGTTAACATTTGTGGTTTGATCTTCAGGTTTTTTTGGGGTTGTTTCATAAGAGGAATGTAAAATATGAAATTGTATGATTCATACTAAAAGTTTTTCAAATAAAAATACTTGAAGTAGCTTCAAGAACTAAATCTTCATTGATTACTTCTGAAACATGAAATGTGGCTACAGAAACTGAAACAAAAAATTACGAAAAAGGTGTACATGCATGGCCAAAACATAAAACACCTCCTAACTGTCACAGGGAACTTTTCTAGAGGCTATGAAATTTCAAATGGCAAAGCAGGTTTCAAAACAGACAGACTGGCACTTCTAGATTTTCTCTGCTTTCTTAAAAACCAGTCTCAGGAAAGTATATGAGTAATGGAAAAGCTTTTTGATAATTGTATATACAGAACACAGAAAACTATAAGTATTTACAATAGTTTCATTCACAATTGTAGTGTGACTTACAGCAATCACTTTATTACTCCTTTTTGTCTGCATGACAAAAAAAACACAGATTAAAAGAGTTGTGCATACAATAATACAGTGTGCAGAAAGCATTTTTTTTAACTTCCTGATCTTGGTATTTTTAATCCTTGGGCTGTGCACATATAAAATATTCTCATTTAACTTGCAAAATTTGCAACTGTAGCAACTACACTGAATATTCAGCTAGTTTGTGTTCAGTAGCAACATTCAGATAATGGTTTCTTATTAATCCTCTGATTACTTAAAAAATGAAGCTCTGTGTAAAAAAGGATTTCTCAGCTGTTTGTTCTTAATTAAAAGAAATTTTTAAAGGTAAAAAAATTTAAAGCTCTTTATATTTTTTAATTTTAATTCATTTCAGTACTTACGAGGCTTCTGGTTTAAATGCAAATAAGGAAACAAACAACATTCTGAATAAACCAAAACAAATTCACAATGAAGGAACAACTTGCACCTTCATTCTGTTCTCTAAATTAATAGTTAATCCCACATACCACAATAATTTTATTCATACAGTGTCCAGGCCATTTGGGAATACCTCTTTTATATTTGTGTAGTTTATATTCAAGTGTTCTTTCAGACTTTTGCTCTAGAAGTCTTTACTGAAAAGCAGAGAGTGCTCAGCCTTTGGCAACATTAACTGCATTTCTATAGACTGTCACAGAACAAATGGGTACATTTATTATTTAGATACAAAATATTGTCTTGGTGCTCAATATATTCCCAAGGAGTAAAGGGCATTACTTACACTCAGCAAATTAAACCACTAAGGACTTCAAAGGATTATGATGATTAGGCTTCCTGTAGTACTATATAATTTTCCTGATTTGGCCTAGTTTATTTCTTCACATACAGCCTATGAAATGCTGGCAAAATTGCTCTTCTCTAGAAATTTTAGGAGGCCAAGAGACACACATCTGTCTTGAAACAGGCACTTAAAAGAGCACACTGCTGAATCTAATCAAGGCCTGACCACTAGACACAAACTCCGTAACTGTTCCGGTTCAAACTCCGGTTCAAAGAAATTATTTGTGTTATCAGACACAAAAAACACCTGCTCGTTTCAGAGCCTCACAGTGTTCATGGGAATCTTTCAAGGGGGTAGAAGTCCATTCATAATTGTGCTGGGCTGATGCTGGCTGAACACCAGGCTCCCACCAAAGCTGCTGTACCACTCCCCTCCTCAACTAGACCGGGAGTAGAAAATTTAATGAAAGGCTCATGGGCTGACATAAGGACAGGAAGAGATCATTCAGCAATTACAGTCATGAGCAAAACAGAATTGACTTGGAGAATGTTGCTTAATTTATTACCAATCAAAACAGAGTAGAATAATGGGAAATAAAAACTAAATCTTGAAAACAACTTCCCCTATCCCTCCCTTCTTCCAGACTCAACTTCACTTCCAAAATCTCTACCTCCTCCTCACCAGTAGGGGCAATGGGGAATGGGGACTGTGGTCAGCACATCCCTCATTTTCTCTGCCACTCTTCCCCTGCTCCAGGGTGGAGTCATGCCCACTGAAGACAGTCCTTCATTAATTGCACCAGCATGAGTCCCTTCCACAGCATGCAGCCCTTCAGGAACCTCCTGCTCCAGCATGGATTTCTCCACAGGGCCACAGGTCCTGCCAGAAGCCTGCTCTAGTACAGGTTTCCAATAGGATCACAGCCTTCTTTGGGAATCTACCTGCTCCAGCATATGGCCCTCCATGGGCTGCAGGTGGACCTCTTATTTCCATGGGCTGGAGGGACACAGCTGCTTCACCATGGTCTGCATCCTGGGCTGCAGGGGAATCTCAGCTCAGGCACCTGGAGCACCTCTTCTCCCACCTTCTCCACTGACCTTGTGTCTCAGCAAAGGTATCTGAAGGGCTGTTTCTCACACATGTTCTCATTCTTCTCCCTGGCTGTAAACTGTGCAGGACTTTTTCTTCTCCCTTTTAAACTGTGTTATCCCAGAGGTGCTACTACCATGACTGATGGGCTCAGCTTTGACCAGCAGTGGGTCCATCTTGGAGCTGGCTGGCACTGCCTCTGTCATGACAATGGAGCAAACATCTAGCAGCTCCTCACAGAAGCCACCCCTGCAGCCTCTCTGCTACCAAAACCTTGTTGTGCAAACCCAATACAGTAACTTGTACGTCAGATCAGTATGGAAATAATTAATAATTACTGTTATTTCTGAACACTGAACCCAGGTAAGGAATTGGTTGTAGCCTGCACTCAAAAGTAATGGTGTTATTAGATATTAAGCTAAACAAGTGCTAGCCTAATTGAGTCTCATAATGAAAAAGGCTTGACCAAAGGCACTGAAAAAGAAAGAAAAAAAGAACAAACCAAACACATTAAAGCAGCCTTTTAATACACTATAGCACAGAAGCAACAAAGCCTGAGACCCAGATGGTCTTCACTGACCAGAAATTCTCTTTGTTGCTGTGAGCATTATTTTTAGAGACAAGGTTATAGAAGAAAAAGGAGAGGGGTGCAAGGAGGATGCTGGGGAGCACAGAAGGTATTGAACTGGGGCCTCTTGAGATGTGTGTCGATTTGTAAGTACTCTGCACCGTGTTTTTTTCAGATAATTCATCATACTTGCAGCAGGAGCTGGCTGCCCATATAAACCTGCCATTAGTTCACATTTTTCAGAAGTTATTAGCCATACCATTATGTCCTTTATAATTTTTAACTCATTACACTCATAGATCTCCATGCACTCAAAGGAGGTATCAGTACAACAGAATTAAGAAGGAGAATGAGCAGAACATGTTTGATTTAAAAGATATCCAGTGGCAGTTCAGTGAGAACCAGCAGTGGCAAAGCCATCAATCAAAGCACATCATTACTCACTCCCCTGCCTTCCCTTACCAGTGCCTAAGAACTGGGTAGATAAATATGGGATAGCAGTGAAATTTGAGCCATTTCATGTAAAGCAACAAATCACAGAACCGGCATACAGTCATTATTTTCTATTTGCTATAGTAAGATTACTTTTGAATCTCTCAGGGTGCAGAAAGCTTTTTGCAAACTACAGAGGGGTTAGAAAAAGAACCATAGTTGAAAAAGACTGGCTAACTTTATGAGGAAATCTTGGACAGCCTTGTTACTAGGTAACTGAAATGAGAACTAACAGACTACCTACACTGATAGAACTGTATGGGGAGATGGATGTGTAACTTAAATTAGTGGATTTTAAGTGTGCACCTTATGGAAGTAACAGAGGAAAGCTAAGAAGGATGATATCTAGGTGAAGTATTTGAAATAGAAAAATGGAAGAAACTGAAAGACAGTTACCTGCAGAGTGTAAAAATCAGACATGTCAAAGCACCAGAAAATGTCATAAGAATAAATACTTAAAATTGTCAAGTTTAAGACAACTGATTGGATACTCCAGAAATTTCTCCCTCCTCTAATTGATGTCATTCCTTTGTCTGTTGGCAAAGCCAGAAAGACATAAGAAGACAAACTTTTGTAATAAGGGTAAGTGCAGATTCTGTGAAGTCTTTGACCTTCCTCAGGACTACACAGTGATTTCTAAACAACTTTGTTTTGTCAACACTGACTTGTTCAAATATAGTGTAGTAGGAGTCAGGTACAGCCCATCTCATTAATTGTGGAACCTAACCTAAAACAGTGAAAAAAAAAAAAAAGAAAAAAAAAAAAAGAAAAAAAAGAAAAAATAAAAAGCCAAAAGGCAAGTCAGTGGTATGACCTTTCTGCAGAGATCCTCAATCTATCATCAACCTGAGCTAGTAACTTCTCAGATAAGCACTGCAGAAGCACAGCTTCCAAGTCCAGGACTTCAGGTACAAACTACTCTATGCAAAACTAACATGTACAGCAGACTTAATCTACAATCCAAACAATCTGCCTATAAAAAACAGTTGACTGTATGACAATGCAATATTTCAGTCACTTACTGCAGCTGTGGTCATGCTATCCTACTAGAAAAGATGAGCAACTTCACTACAATATTCTGCTGACAGCACAGGGTTTAAAGAATATAACTGATGTCAAGGATAAAGGAATAAAATTTTTGCTTTTAACATAAGATGGTGCCTCATGAAACATCCACGTATAGGGAAAACAGAGTTTTTTCAAGAGCAACACATTTAAGCACATTTTAAAAATCAAGTTAAAATTTACGGGAGTCAAGATGCAAAAAGTAATCAAGAGTACCAAGTAAAGAGTAAAATGCTAGTTAAAAAATGACAGCTATCAAAAGACAAATTTATCTATATGTGCCCCAAGACAGTTGCAGTACACCAATCTCACATACCTTGTGCCTAACATGAACTTTGAATACTTTGAATTCCTGTATTTCCATGAATGGGGCAGGGGGGGAAATACACATACATATACACAAATTTAAATTAAAATCATAATAAATTTAATTCAATAACTATATCTTGTGTTTGTCCAGGAAAAACGTTGGGGGTATAGAAATAGAAAACCCCAACAGTAAGAAGGTGGCATCTACCTTTAGTTGTACATTTAAAATAATTTATGAATATATTTTAATGTCTTTTTAGCTACTGGGTGGACTGTATAAGAACTAGTAATAGCCAACATGCTGAGGCCTAAAGTGCAGTATCCGTCAACACTTACAGAAGGATGTCACTGCAGCCTGAGATGCCACTAATAACTCCAAGAAATTGCTCACTTTAAACATCCTCAGCATGTGAGGTTGATCTAAATGTATCATTCTTACCTGCTTTCATCCCAATTTTGTATGTTTCAAAAGGTCACTGTTAAGTATAATAACCTATAAGCTCTGAGCTGAGGAACTTTAAGATTTTTGTTCAGGTGGAATAGAATAATAACTGTTAAAAGTTTTGCATGCCATAAGTCAACTTAAGAAATTCAGAAAAATATTCAAGCAGTCATATATAGAACATGGTATCATTATGAATCCACTCTTGGAACTACTGCTCTAAGTGAAGTAAACATCTTAAAAGACCTTGAAAAGTAGGCAAGATACCTCATGCATTCTAATACCATCCAGTATTTCCTCAACAGAAAAATGAATAAGCTCAGAAGAGAAGCTTCCTTGCCAAGAAATAGCATTAATGTAGCAATTTTGACTCAGGCCATTTATAAATTCAGTTCCTGAAACTAAAAGCAGGTACTTCTGAGGAGAGAATACTTCATTCATATACACATCCATTACCCTTCCCCATTCCACTGTAAGCACCAGAAAACAATGACTATTCAGCTTGATGTGAACTTAGCAAACATGGCCTGCCCTCACCTGGAAGGTTTAATTTATCTGCACAAGGGATGCAGCACATGGCCATACGCACCCCTTCTCTCCTCCTGCCCATTCCCACGCTGCTGGTGCGGGATCTGAACCTGCCCAGCTGCACTCAAGCTCTCACGCACCCCAGATGCAATGCTGCACCCATGCTCCATCCCTCCAGGGACACGGGAGGCCCAGAAGGATGAAGCAGAGGGGGTCCTGCAGAGCTTTGTGCTGTAGCTGGAGTTGCCCCTCCTCACTGGACCCACACTGACAGGCTTTTGGCACACAGCTTCTGCCAGACCACTGCTTGCAGCTGGGTCTCCACATGTCCCCACCACATTACTCTGACACGCTGCACACCTAAACATTGTCACAAAAACCTGCTGAGTCAACACAGTGTTGTGTGCACCACTATTTAGGAAAACCAGAAAAACCCATCTGGCTGTTTCTATATTACCAGCTGCCAGCACAACCTCCTCCTCTCTGTGTTCTGCAGCAAAATGTTTCTCAAAAGCCCAAATGACTATAGCCATGAGCAGTCTGGGGGAAAGGGTGCAAGAACCTACCATCGCCAAAGATGTGAGTCATGAGCTTTGTGAGCACTTGCTTCAGGTTGAACTCCACCAGCCTCACTGCCTCCATGGTGTGACACTCCTGCTTGTGTGCAGTGCGATGGCCTTGCTCAAACAACTGTAAACCTTCACCATCTTTAATGCTGGAGAACAACTAGAACAAAATCACAAAAACACAGCGTTTTGCATCAGTGACCTCTGGAACAAAAATAGAGAATGAAGTTTCGTTAATTTAAGTGGGAATCTTACCTGCTAAGTCTGCACTATGAAAAATAAACAAAGACTGTGACTTTATACAAATGCTATTCACTAAATGCAGAGATAAATCTCTGTAAGAACAAAAATGCTCAAGTAAGTAAATCTGGTTTACTTCTATCATCAAATAACATGATTAGCTATAGGAAAAGAATAATTTACAAAATAAGCATCTCTTTTTTTCTGATTCAGTTACTTTGAAAGTTATTGTGCAGAACAAAGTACTCTGTACACTGTATGCAAATTACACTACAAAAATTACAAACCACAATGAACACAATGGCATTTATCAGAACTTCAACTCTTTTAGTACTTGAATGATGTAAAAGAAATACCAAAACAATCAAAAAGAAAAAAAAAAACCAAAAAATAACCAGAAACACAGAACCAAGAAAAATCCAAACCACAAAAAAAAAAACCCCACAAACAAAAAAACCCAAACCAACAAAAAAAGAAAAAAAACCCAAAGAAAAAACCACAAACCCTGGCAGTTTATGAGACTTAAGCTGTTTACTGTTGATTCATCCTGGGTACAAGTTTATATTCATTTAAGGACTACAATTTTGCTGTATATCCCCACCTAAAGCATCCTTTTTCTGAACAAGAATTTTGTCTATGGGGCATTTAAGGATTCACGATCTCAGGTGGGGGTTATGAAGCACACGGACAGCTGTTTTGGGATGTGGCAGACTTGCTCTTCATTCAGACACTGTTCCCCACCACATCTGCTGCAAGTTGAAGATTTCTGTTTTCTGCATATCCCCATATGTTTCTGGCCATGTGATCCTGGCCAGATACATACTAGCAAATCTATATCCTTTCAGAGAGACCTATAAAACACATCCATTACACAACATTGTTGGAGGCTCTGTGTCTCAGGGAGAAAAGCAGGCAGTTTTACAATCTAAAGAATATTTTTGTTGGAAATCCTTACAGCTGTACAAAACCCCCATATCTGGGGTGAAAGTCTTGAGGGTTCTTTCCTACTCCTCCTCTTCTACCTTCCCCTAGTCAATCCAGCACACACAGAGGGAAAAAACATGCACTGAGATTTTCTTTCCATTGAGCCTCCCAACATAAATAGCTCTTACTCAGGAGATGCCATGAATAGTGTGTAACCTACAACTCATGGATGCCCACAGAAGTTGTTTTAACTGCAGTTTGATGCCTACAGATCACTAAACAAAAAGTTAAGTGAGTCTCTGGTATTCCACCAATGCTAACAATTAATTAGAACTAGTTTCTAGCACATTTCCTTCAGTACAGGCACAACAAATGCAGAGTCTGAGTTTAGATGGCAGGTGAACTAGCACCACAGTGGACTGAAGAAATAAAAAAAATCCAGTAGCATTTAACTTTTTCTTGCTAGCCACAAGGAGATTGCAGGCAGATTTAGAAAACATTTCTTCTCTTAATCTCCTTAGTGTGCTGCAGAAAATGCTAAATTAAAAAGGAAATGTATAAATACCAAATAAAACTATTCTCCACCAGTCTAACTAAAATGCCTTTACTAACCAAAAGGCAGCAGCTTGACAAACAAAGTATCACACTTTTAAATAACAGATTCTTAATTCAAGTGCTCATCTGAAAGATTAAACCCCGTTCTTCTTACTTACATTAATCCTATCTTGACTGGAACAAGAAGATAATACCCATCCTACAACTAATTTGCTGTCAGCAAGGCAGATTGGTCACCCAGCATGTGGTTTTGAAAGGCAGGGGAGCTCAGAGAGGCCAGCATTAGCCTAGGGAGGATAATTGTCTTAGGCTCACTGGGTAGCCAGTGGAGAGACACAGGCTCCCTCACAGAGGAACACAGAGTGGCTAAATTAGATTCCTGCTCTGAACAACCCTACACAGGTAGCTATTTTTTCTATTGACTGACTCACTCACGGAACCTGAAACACCCTTCAGGTAAGAGAGATGCTCCCTCTTTTAACCTAAATACACTGTATTTATACACTAGAAGGTACATTTGTTATTTTACCTATCAGCAGTATTTTAGGACCTGAAATTCTCTTCCTCCTTTTCCCCTTCACTCCTTCCCTTCTGCTTAAGACTGGCTCCTTAGGCCACTGCAAAGAACAGACACTCTGTACACAAGCCTTCAAAACACAGCATACATATCAACAAGTACATAAAAATACTTTTGCTTACTACTGTATTATTTCTGAAATGTTGATGCCACAATTACAGTCTAAAGTAAAATTCTATTTCAGCGATTTATATTGGATGTGGAAACAAAATACATGCAAGAACCATTAAATACATTGAGTTATAATGCAGCCCTGTCACCTGCCTGAGCCCTAATCTTGCCAAACCAGTCATAGGCACCATCTCCAAGTGCCTCTAAGTCATAGGCTCCTTCTCCAAGCCAGGACAAGGGTCCATGCAGCAGTGTACTGAGCCAGGCAGGGAGATGGATCCAGATGGGCAGTAACTCAGGAGAAGGGAAGAAACTGAGGGATGTGAAAATGGTGTTAGTCATGAAATATCAGCATACTAGCAGCTCCAAGAGATGAGCTGGCACATGAACAGGGCTGGGTCACTTTGGGCACAAGCGTGACTAGTCCAGTTCAGACAGGCTCTGAAAGCACAGCCATAGGGAAGTCCCAGAAGCAGGGAAGACAAGAGCTCCCCCTTTACAGTGAGGCACTGAGAGGCACTTTGGTATTCTCCATAGAGGCTTCATCAGCTGCAGATGGGATTATACCAAGGAAAAAAAGAGACACCTTACAGTTGTATTAATATTTATTCCTGACTTCCCATTCACCGACATTGCTATGTCAATACAAGCAGCTTTAATCCAATACACCAATTTCACTACTACAATGACTGAACTGTGCTAAGTACATGTCTTGGATTAGAAACAGTTCAACATTTCTGTATACATAAAGCCAGGAAAGTCAAAGCTTGAAGAAAATGAAGAATCACCTATATTCGCTCCTTTTTGATGTCAATTTTTCTCAAGCACATATCTGAGAAAATGGACAAAAAAAACCCCTAACATCTTGCATAAAACACTGACACATCCAAGACAACATTTTCACGTACATTCACTCCTTCAGTGCAGACTAAAACAGCATGCACTATCTTATTGTATTGAATACAATCAGTCACTACTACAAGCAGGAAAGAAATTTCCTGTAGCCGTAAATCAAGTACCTATATGTCTGTCTAGTGTAAGGACAACAAGATTTTCCTTTGAGTAAAGGTGTGCAAAAATTGAATATTGGATCACCATTAAAAAGTCAAAAATTAGTACTTACCAGGATTTAGCAGCATATCTTACTGATGCTGCATTACAAAGGAGAAGGCAGAAAGGAATTGAAGTGACCTAACCATGTGACATGAAGTTTAGTCACAGTTTAGCTATAATAAAAATAAAATTTAAAATAAACTAAAATTTGATAACATGTAATGGCAAGAAAACAGGACAAGTACAAATAGAGCTACAGTCCTCCAAAAGCACATTGCAGCATTTCTCAGCCTGGTAGAAGAAGTCACATTTGTGATTTAAACAAAGACCCCAACATTTCCTCAATCACTTAGAAGACCTTTTATCTCACATCCCTTCATTATCCATACATTTAGTATTCAAAATTAAGTGCCTCTTTGCAGGATGGCATTCATAGTAAGTTTCAGATCAGAGAGATCTGCAACTGCATCCTGTCTTTCCACAATGCAGTTGTGTATCCCTCCTGCCACTCATGCATACACCAGTGATTTAGATAATGAATAAATCATGCTCATGTACTTATACTCTCAGGCAAACCAGCATTTAAAATTATCTCTGTATGAGGATCTGCACGTGACTACACTCAACCTTGCCACACCAAATGCATTTTGCCTCACTGCCCCAAATAAATCTCTAAAAATGAACCAACAGCTGCATTCTGAATCCACTTACAAATAGCAAAACCTTTCCACAACATTTTAATGTGCTGTGGAACTCAAGACTCAACCAGTGGATCAGGAATGATGAAGACGATACCACCAATAGATGGCTCAAAGAGAAAACGTAATTTCAGTAGCAGTCAGCCCCCAAGGTGTAACTATACATCCTGATGCAGCCAGCTTCAGGTACTAAAGAGATACACAGCCCATGATCCACGTGACAGAAGGCTCTTCACTGCACATCAATAAGGATCTTTGGGGGCAGAAAATGGCAAAAATTACTTCAACCCACAAGCTTGAAGGTGGTCACCCTAATTTCTACATCCTTCCATTCTAGTTCTCCAATTACAGCTAAGAAAGATAACCTGTGTTGTTTTTTGGGGGGTGGAGGGCTGGCTTTTTGGTTTTGTTTTTTTGTTTTTTTAACCAAATCAAAGTGTTTCTGCAAGAAAAGGGAAAAAAATAGAGATGTTTTCAAACCAGAAAGAAAAATAACACTGCTACACAGATACCTGAAATAATGAGACATCTATCATAGACTTTTGTTTCTGTAGCAGTAGAAATTCCTTGACTTTTAAGTACCTTAGACTTCCCAAATACACTCTTTGACACTTTGCTCTTTTTTCTTTTCCTGCACAATTTAAATATTGCATTGAATAGATTTAAAAGCTTTATTCTGAAAAGCTTTGTTGGTTTGTTTGTTTTTTTAGCTGGACAACAAAAAGAAAAGTCTGAAAAAAATATGAAGCCTTTGCAGTAAAAGATGCACCATTCATTTTCAAACTTCCTAGACCATGGATCACTATGAAAATCTAACAGACCTTCTGATGCCCTCCACTGTCAAATTTTTGACTAAAAATAACAAAGAATACAATCTGGATTCTCGGATCAGTGAAGATCTATTTATTATGGCATGATTTATACAGCACAACTTGGAAAATACTGAATAATACAATGTTCTCAACTTGGATTAATACCGGAGAAAGTGAAATCAGTTCCACCTAAACTAACCAGGCTCTTCATTGTGACCACTCAGTTCAACTGCAGCTTCTGGAATAAATTCACCTCAGAATATTCTAGCAAAGTAATGCTGCTGCTCCTTTTTTTTTTTTACCAAGGCGGATCTAGTTCAAGTGCCTCTGCTCCTGTACCAGCCTCGCTGCTCCCTGGGAGAAGGAGGGATGGCTCTCAGGATCCTTGGGAGCCATGCTTTGCTCACAACCCTATCCAAAAGTTGTAGAAGGCTTAGAAGGGTTCCTTTCCTTAGTCATTTAGGCCTTTTAAAATATTTGTTCCTTGGTGCCCAGCTAAACACTGCTATTATGACTCCCACTCACAAGTGCTCCCAAATAAACTATGAAAGCTCCAAATCACTCCATAAAATAGGTTGATCCCTGGAACACTATAAATTGATTTAAATTCCTTTACACATGAGGATTTAAAAAAAGAGACTTGAAGACAGGAAGGAGCTTTTCTTTGATACAATGTCAGAGCAAAAGCACAGCGTCCAAAGCTGCAGTAACATACAGGATTTTGGAGAAGTCAAACCTAAAGATAAAGTTTTCCAAGGGGAAACACAGCATGGCACTTGGTTAAGAAAAAAAAAAAAAAAACAAAACTGCAGATGTGTGGTCAATCAGGAGTTCAAACCGTCCCAAACCACAAGAGAAAGGATAAAAGTAACATCTTTTTTTTTTTTAATAATACACCAGGAATATTGCCAAGGTACTGAAGTATGGGAAGATGAGGAAAGGAGTATGTATTTACATGAAAAAGAGAAAAAAAATCTACTAATCTTTTATCACCTAGAACAAGAGTCTTTACAGTTCAGGATAGAAACAGTAGAATCTACAATATTGACTTTTTAAAAAATTATATATACTGTTTTGGAGGAGCAATCCTTTATCTGTAACTAGACTATTTACCCTTTTTCCATTGCATCCTAAAAAAAGTTTCCATTTCCACCATAAGCATTTCAACAGAGAATAAAGATGTATCCTTACCACTTCTAGCACAAACAAGCCTGATGAGAGCATCATTTTTTTCATCTAAACAACCTTGTATTGGCCTCCGCTGGAACAAGGTTACTAAATTAAAGGAGCAATTCCTGTGTTTTAGCATCTGTTCCCCTTAAAATTTATGTATAATTCAGTACAGGCTATAAAATACCATATGAAGTCTCCTTCAAATGTGTAAATATTTTTTGTTACCAACTAAAAGCTGTTCATTGACTGCCATTGGGTTTATATTGGCTCCCTCTTCTGGCTGACATGCTTCAAGTGCAACGGAGTTGAGATTTTTTTAATCTTTCCCATAAATTACGGAACTACACCAAAGGCAATGGCATGGCACAGAAATAATTTCTCTCATAATCCACCCAGGAAAACTGGCTTGTTCAAATCTGACTACAGCAGTATCAAAATTGCCCATCCAAAGTACTAACCAAAAGAAAAAAAGCCATACAGCACAGAAGAAAAAAAAAAATTCAATCACCAATTAGAAGAAAAACAGAAATTATGGAGGAAGTGAATACAAAAGGATATCATTTGGGGGTACTGTTTAAGAAAAACATCTCATTTACTTCAGAATTCTGAAGCAGATTTGGGAAGCTCTTTTTGGTTTTAACTATTTATATTAGTCAGTTTCTAACAGTACTTCTATTACATTCAGAAAATATTAACCTAAAATAGTTCTAAATATATTGAAAACATGTCTAAATGTATTTTCAGATGTTCTTTGATAGCAGTCCAAAGATATTTTTTAAAAGTTCATGAGAAATTTAAGCATGAATTATTCTAACTTTTAGCAATGAGGTCGTTTAGGAGATGGGAATTTCTTTAGTAGTTTAATATTTACACTCATACTAAGCTGCAGAAATGCATCAGTTACCTGCCCATCTTTGAATTATAGATTACTTCTCTCTTTAAAAAGTAATCAACCAACCATCATGAAAAAAACATAGCCAAAAAAGCAAATGGCTCACAAATATATCAGAAAAAAATACTGTAAAATTGACAGACTTAATTTGTTTTTCTAGATCTTACTTCAACATACTGATTTTAACTTTCATATGAAGAATCATGCTGAAGGCTTCCATCACAGGACAGGATTTTTAACCTGGTCATGACTACAGAATTAAGTATTTGTAATGGAAAGTCACCTTTGTACATCTACATCTTTTATATCCTGCCTAAAATTTCAACTGAAGACGAATTGACTTGTCACCCACACTTCATAAACTGAGATTAAACATCAAATTCCTCTAAGTTCAAGTTCTTATAAAATCACTCTAGGCTTTTGTTTTTCTTCTGACATCTTCTTAGGTCTGTGGTCATTTACACTGAGAAAACAGTAAATGACAAATGTAAAAAGCAAAAGAACAAATTAGAGCAGCCAACTGACATCAGCACATAAAATTACTGTATTGGCCATAACATGAAATGTAGCTTGTAGCTCTACAAGGTACATTTCATGTTATGGCCAATACAGTAATACATGCTATGGCTTGTAGATAAGAGCTAACAGTTTTTCCCTTGGTTCCAAAGATTCTGATCCTTGGTACTTGTGCAAATTTCCTCTCACCAGAGACTGAAGCCTGGTTAGGAATGAAAAGCCTGAGACAAAGGTAACAGGGCCTGACAGTAACACGTTTCTGCTCAGTGGGTTACAGCTTAAACCTGAGTATAAATAAATGAATATCAGAGTATTTCTCTCATGTAGTATTACCTCTATTTAGTCTTTGTTCCACTCAGACAGTTCCTTCTGGAATTACAAATGTGGATTATTCTGAACAGGCAATCAGAATACAAAACACAGAAACAATCCCCAATGAAATCTGAGAATCACACATTCATTTTTTTCCACAAGGCTCTTGTGATTATGACAATAAAAGGAGGTATATATGGAAACAAACTGAAGCAAAAAAGGACGCATCAGATCATGCTCAGGTTTATAATTTTTTATGTTGTCCAATAAACAACACAACACGTCATACACCACACCGCTATTCCTTCTTCATCAGTATAGAGAGCTCTCCAACAACATCTTAATCATTTTCTTGGGGAAAAATAAAGGAGAGAAAATGAAAAATCTCCAGTGCAATGAATTAGACTGTTAAACACTGTACGTTTCTAGATAGAACATGTCAGTGAAAACATTATTTTTTACATATATATATGTTATTTATATAACATCTGTTCCCAGTTATTCATATCCTATTATTCCTATTATTAAATGTTTAGAGTAGAAAGAAATAGTCTATCATTAGGACCACAATTTCTGAAGTGGTATATTCATAAACAAGTAGTTCAATGATTAGAACAATCACATCCAAGGTTGAAGAAATTTCATCCTGCAATAATGTTGATGTTATAATTTTGTGGCAAGTAAATTTCCAGCTGGATGACTGAACTTCTGCACAAGTGAAAAAAAAAGTTATGATGAACCAAAATGATTAAAAAATGGTATTTTCTTAATATAGTATTGTGTACCATATACCCTGACTATATTCATAAATAGGTCTATGGAAAAAGAACAGCAAACAAACGAGGCTGGGTAAGTCTGCAATATTTCCAGTTTGTGGTTACCAAAGAAGCAGCTGCAGGCGGGGTTCAGCACCACACAGCTCTCAGGACACCTGCAGAGGCAGGCATCAGTTCTCAATGGAACGAGCAGCAGCCGCACAGGGTGGCAAAGTGCAGTGCAGGCAGCACAAGCCCCTTCCATCACAGAGAAAAGCTGTGCTCTATGATTACCTTAGTTTTCCCTCAGGCATCCAAAGGCATCAGGCTTCTCTGCCAAGCTCCTGTCACCCGTTGGCAAGCATGTTAAGAATGGTCTACATCTCAGTGTTATTAGAATAAGCGAGTTTTAGTTATAGAACTGTGAATTTGGCAGTATTACTACAAGCATACACAAATTATACAGATCAATTACTATTTGGAAAACAACCTGGCTTATATTTACCACTGATCAATGATGCAGCAGAGTACTTAATGACACCCAGGCATTTGCAGAACATGCAAGCTGTGCCAACAAAACATATAAACTTAAAAGTCCTGGACAACAACCTAGAGCTCTTCAGCTGATGCCTCTGGACTCCGATGGGTTTGCTGTGTATGCACCACACATACATAACTATTGGCTGCAACAGGTGAATCCTTCAGTGCAGCTTTAAGATGAGATGAAGAATGTAAGAATTCCTTAGAAAATGACATTCATTTATAGCCAGTTGGCACTATTAAAAGAAAAAAAAATGACGACAGTGAAAACTGTACTTTGGAAGTAGCTGGAACAACTCGCATCCAAGGAATCCTTCAAGAATTAATTTGATAGAGTCTTTGGTAAAGTTATCTCACCAGAAGAGAGTTGTGACAAAAATAGAATTGAGTTGTGCAGATCATTAACTGAACAAGTTTTTTAATTTCAGACTATGTTTCACTTTGCTAGCTTTCAATAATATTGTCTTTCCATTTTTTCACATTTTCCTAGGGAATTTTATAGTTGTTTTCAAATTCAACACTTTGTCTACATTTTTCACAAATTAAAAATATTGCTACATGATAAATAACTTGATCTTTATCAATGCGCAACATAACATTGTGGCTGTAAAATGCTTATGTGCACAAACCTTGCTTACATGGATGAAGTTTGCTTGTAGCAAACACAAGACCAAGCAACTTACCCAAAATGTTTTTCACCCCAGCTAGAGAACTCATACCTCATGGCAGGAGAAGAGGCGCACTCCCTCCATCTGATGGAAGACAGGGTAGTGGGTGTTGTCAATCGTGTCTCGGCGGTAGACATCTCCCACTGCCAGAAAGGCATCTAGGCCAGAGCGTATCAAGTCCCACTGATGAGCTGATGTATGTGCTCTTAGCATGTGGTCTCGATTCAAGTAATAGTTATCCTCTTTCCTTCTGCTGGCATGGTTTGGTGGGATAAGTAAACTATCAAAATTCTGCTGGACTGTAACCACCGGAGAAAGACCATCGTACACAGAAAAGAGTGGAGTCCCGCGGCGTCCTAGGTAATGTTTGTAGAAGTGCTCCTTCACCTGCTCCTTGATTAGCCACAAAGGGTGATGTTTTCTGTTGTGCAAGTTCTTCCCCACCTTGGAAAGAATCTTGTCTGTGACATTGCTGTAGTCATCTTGAGGATAAGATTTACCAAGCAGTTCCACAGTATTTGAGCAGGGTGAACTTGCAGCAAAATCTGAAGGTACAGACTTGGATGAAGAATGCCTTGAATGGGTGGGAATTCCTCTTACCTTTACTTTTGATGATAAAGCTGTTTTAGAATACTTAGCTACTCTCATGAATTTCCAGAGCATTGCCATTGCAAATGTTCTATGATCTAGAGAAAAAAAAGGAATTAAAAATTTTTGAGTTAGGAACTGCAATGTTGCTGCAGGAATTGCTATTATCTTAGGGATAGACAAATCCAAATGTCTGCTTGATTAGCATGATAAAATCCCCATTATAAACCACTCTTCTGACTTCAGAGGATGGAAAATACCCTTGTGGCCAAATTTCAGCTAGGGTATTTTATTCAGTTTTCAGGCTTCTGCATGACTGCATCAGTATTAATGACTCTACACCTAGCCCTGAACCCCATTCCAGATGATGCTCTTTAAAGATGAATAAACATCAGGCCTTCTTTGAAACAATATTTTTCATCCAATTAAAACATGTGGCAATAACTCAATATTACTTAAGAGAAATTCAGAAACTTAACAGTGCCCTTCAGCAGTCAGAACTCGCTTACAATAAGCAATTAACTTATTGTTGTATTATCTCCTCCATTAGCAGAAACTGTTCCACATCTACCTGATGCATGTAGCATGCACTATGCAATCATCACTAATTCTTATTTAATGCCAAACAAGGTTAAACCGGTTTAACCTTTCAAACTACTGAACCACTACAAAAAAACAGATGGCCAGACAAGTAATATATTTATACATAAACAGCTTATTAAATTCGCATATGAGTATTGCACAAGATTCACCATAAAGACTCCATGAAGTCAGAACCAAGGTTAGGGTTTTGCAGTGATCACAAAGCCCTTTTTCCATATGTTTCCCAGGATGGCTATTTGCACAGCTTCCACAGCTGTACAGGGGAGGCAGGCTTGTCAGATACCAGGAAAGCAAAGTGATGAGATTCTTCAAGTTGTCTGAACCAAAGAACTCATTTCCCATCAATGGGCCATCTTTACACATCCTCCCTGTTCACAAACAGGCTTTGTGCTTCATGTGTACACAGCTGCATTCTCTGTAGAGTTCAAAGATAATTCTAAAACCAAAGAGTTTTGAGAGTGATGAACCTTTCAGTCACTGCATATGCATAAGCCCATTCTGAGATGAAAAATTACTTGAAAAACTATAGTTGGGTTTTAGAAATATTAGCAAAGATCCCAGTAAAATAATCAAGCATTAAAATCTGCCTATTATGGAATGGGAAAACAGAGGCATTAGAAGTTAAGAGACCAGGGAAATGTATCTACTATAAACTGGCTTGTATTTCTCTATGAACCAAGAATTACAGGGCCACAGGTTTTCTGAGTGAAAGAACTTTCTGTGAAAGTCATCTTAAAGAACTGGGGGAAGAAAGGGCATAAGCAACAATACATGCACCACAGTCTTCAAGGGATACAGTCTTTAGGATTACAGTATCTGGCTAGCTTTCCATAGGAACATAAGGAAAATAAGTGTAAGTAACAAAATAAACAAGGTGAGACTATTTTTCATGTTCTCACGCTTCAAAATATGTATGCAAATGAACAGACATACTAGAATAGAGAGTCACAGAAAAAAACAAATCTGTAAAAGGTAATAAGTATGGTCGCATTTGGCTTTCTTTCTTCCGACTTATCTCTAGAAGTTTTCCATTGGTCTATTTCCTCAAAGCATTGTATCTCAATCAATCAAAATAAAAGCAAGTTAAACCTGGTGGGGAAGTGTAAGATTACTGAATATTTTGTTTAATCCTTTTTCTGGCACAATATCTCTAGAAATAAATAACAGCTTATTTTATATAATAACAGCTATAAATTTTATCTAGTCTTGAATCTTTAAGGATGACTGCCTTTGGTGGGGGGGGGCAGTTAAGAGTTTACAAAACTATTTCATCAAATTAACTCTTGATCATTACTGAGAATGTTCTTCAATAAATGAATTCACACAGAGATCTGAAAACACTCTGATAGAGGCTAAGCAAGGGATAGTCTTTACATTTTGAAAAGAGACCCCATTTTCCTGAAACATACGTTCTCCTTCATGGAAAGTGAGTTCTCATTTTCAAACAGCTGCTTGAAATACCCAGTCCTAGTCAGATAATGAATTCAGCTTCCCTTAAGTAAATATCACCATCTGCCCATACATTTATTTTTCTAAAAACTTCAATTCAAAACTTACACATAACCATAATGCACAAAAAACTCCCATAACTTTATCGTGATTCTTGTGGTGTTTGCTGCTTTCTTAAATATCATTCCTCTGAGAGTCAGACAACCATATGAGAAGCTTAACTTTCACATAAACAGTTTTGATGATTGTAAATTTATGGAAAAAAAAATAAGAACATACACCAGAAGTATTGTGGGGGGGGGGCACTCTTGTTTAAGACTCATTGTTTTTAAGAGACTAGTATATACATCTTCAAGGGCTTACCTGATTATATTTCAGTATTTGCAATGAGGAAACCTGCTATCAGTTTCTGGTAGATCAGAAAAACTATCTTTTTTCTAAGCAAGTGATATATACTCACAAACTTGTACAGGAGAAAAACCTCCAGTGAACTTGTATCAGAGTTTTCCTTCTAACATTATGTCTGTGCCTTAAATAGTTGAACAGCATTATTACCTGCATTGTTATTCTAATTAAAAGCAAAATTTGAGCAGTAAATAATGTGAGCAGTAAGAAAAATTATAGTTTTTAGATGAGTCATCCAATGGCCAAGTACTGCAAACAACACAAGCAAGCACTAAATGTGCCCCTAACATGGTATCACACAGAGTTCCAGAAACACTGAAGTCCTACACAACACTCTACTGCCTCCCTCTCTCACCACAGAGTCACGTATTCCTTTCAGAATCATTACAGAAAAATTGTATTTGACTTAGTTGAACTCAACTGGTGATAAGTTACTTTTGGGCAGAGAAACCACAGAAGAAAGTAAAATATGTTTACCCTCTGCAGACTGTACAAAAAATCTTCAAACCAAAGTAAAGTTTACCAAGGCAGAGAGCAACACTGGAAAATAAAGACATCTCTTTACTTTCTTCTAGCAATTAATACCTGATGTTAAGAACACACTAATTACATATATTCTCTTATAATAAACAGAAATTTATGCATTTATGTTTATTTATTTCTGTCTACGTTTATCTAAATGTCTGGAAAAGCAGTTTAAATGTATCTTTTTCTTCCTTTATTTCCACCATGCTTTCCATTTGGCAGGGAAACAAATCTGTTTTCTGTGCACACTGACAAAACCTGAATCCCACAGCAAGGCCTGCCAGTCAGCTAACAAGAACAGCGAGCCAAACAGCAGCTGCAGGTCCTGTAGCTGAAAACAAATACATAAACGGGAAATAGCCATTGAACAACCACCACTGGCATCTACGATCCAAAGATGGCAAAGTCCTCCACCAGCATCACCAGCGAGTCCTGCACTCTGGGTTTGACAGTGGCTCTGGCTCCCAGATGGGAGCCAACACAGGGCTTTGGATGCAGACGCAGGGCTTTGGAAACAGGCTGTTCTGCTGGCAGCTCTCCATGGGGTTTCTCAAAGATCTGCAGGTGAACATGCAGGCACCAGACCCAACACCTCCTATTACACTTGTCCTCAGCCAGACAGCACCACTGATACATTCCAGGGCACCTCAGCTGCTCCATGGGCTCAGGTTGCTGGACCTCAATCTCTATACTGAGATGTCTACTCCAACTCTAGTCTTGGATATGAGATGACATCTCATATGACATCATACATTACATTATGCCAATACACCTGGAACTATGCTTGCACCTAGCTCATGCTTTTAAGCAACTCCAAGGCAGACCACAGGACAGGAGGTGGCATCCACACCACCCAGGGGTGAAGGCGTAAGAACAACCCTGTCCCTGCTGTGCATAGACCCAACACCAGTACGACCACACCTGCCAACATCAGTCCTGTATCACAAACCCTGTAACACTTCTACGGCAGTTTCAACTGATGGGCAAAGCTCCTTCCCCCTCCACAGAAAACCAACCATTCCCCATGCAGCAGCCCAGCACACATTACACGTGCTGAAGTACACCACAGTCAGGAGTCTGACAACAGTGAAATAGCAGACAGAATACATCAGAAAAAAAAAAAAAACCCACGGTTTTGAAGCACATGCAAAAGGCAGCTTGATTCGATAAGGGACCATACTGCTGTTCTATTAAGGAATGTCCTTTCATGTCTAAATCCAGGTTTCCGTGTCATAGTGCAGCAAGGATTAAGACAGCATTATCACAGCTGCAATGGTATTTGTCACAATTCTTCACTACCCAGCTGAGGCTTAGGAAAGAATCGTAGACTCAGTGAAATTCCTCCTTACCCCTGCTTTGAAAAAGGACGAGGAAAGAGGGGCAGTTTAGCACAATGAAAGGAGACAGTGCTGTGCATCAATGTTGTTTTATTCACTCACCTCCCCTGTAAAAGTGGAAGAGGGAGAACGCTCCTGTTTGAGCAAACTGGAGCCCAAATGGGCCAGCTTGTGGGGCCATTTGCTCGGTATTGGCATCTGTGAGCCAAGGGCACCCTCGCTCCTGCTGACCGCTTTTCTCTCCGCCCTGTGCTTTTTTTTACAGCTTATGGCTGCAGAAACACAGATGGGCTACTGCATACATAAACCCAAGTACATGACGGGTTTGAAACCAAAATTCTACAAAGATGAGAGTCTGTCTCCTATCCAAGAATAGCTAATTAATGCAAGACTCTGAAGTGCCATGGAAAATGTTAGAAAAGTTGGGCTGCCACCATTTTGTGATGTGACAGCTTTTATCTACCGTATGTGTGGGGAGGGGAGTTCAACCAACATAGCATATGTTAAAACAAAAATTATAAACATATGTTAGGCTGCTAAAATTGGACATTTACCAGTCTGTTAGCAATTTAGCTAAGCATTGAATTTTAGTTTTGAAAACTGTGTAGGCATACAGCAGCAAATATCATTGTATTGCCATGACGGTATCTGCCTTGCATAGGATAAATTATTTTGCTTGCAAATCTAATAACATGCTTGGATTTTTTAATGCTCATTTTTAAATGATGATACATTGTTGCACACCAGAACAGACTTCTACTGAGCATACTGAATTTATA